AGCGGGGCGGTGTGCGAAAACCGCAGTCCATTGGGAGCCGGTGTCCAGTTCATCGGATCATACGCCCTTCGGACGGGGTCAGACGTCCAAGGTGCCCAATACACCTCAGTCAATTGTCCATCTGCCGTGTAAAACCAGTAACTTTTGTATGTCTGTTTAAGCAGATTCATAACACCGGAGGTTTCGTGCTTCCAGTTCATTGCTATACGGACGTCCTCGAGAGAACGCTCCCGGGGGTGGAGGACCATTAACATTAGATTGTTTCCCCATTTATTTATTATTCGTGCTGAAGTAGTTCAAACATTTAGAGTATCAAGCTTGGATGACCGTCCACCGTGTAGCTCAGGTGTAAGGGTTTGAAGTCCCGATCCGAATGTTCGCGGTTTCAGTCCTCGCAGGGACACAAAAAAGTACGCACTGCTGACGAGTCCCGAACAGGACGGAACAGCTGTCCAGTGCTCTTTGTTGGTCATAACAAACATTCCCAATACAGTTCAAACATTGTTTCAAGAGCGTACCAAAGAGCAATAGGAATGGGAATTGGTCCTTAATGAATATATTAGCCCGCATTTTAACTTAGTACGAACATAATTTGGACAGAATAAGTGCAACTGATTTTTTAATGTTCGGGGCAATAATATGATATTTTAAAACCGGTATTTTTTTGATCACACTCTTGTGTGATGAACAGCCGACAGGGTGTACCCCGTAGTCGAGATGACCTGCTGTTCAGCGGTGGAACCCGCAACGTCACTCTCGGAACATGTAGTGACGAACCATATAGGGCACCACTAGGTTAGGCGTGGTACGCGACCAGACGATAGCAAAGTGGCGCTAATGGGGTTTGAACGCCGGACCGTACTGTCCAATGCACGCCGGCGACAGCGACTGAACGACTACACCACCTCATATATTTGGCTTCCAAATATAGACACCCCCACTATAATATTGCAAGCCCTAGATTTTTATCCGATTTTTTAAAAATTTCGATCCAGTTTTTCTTTGCTCTGAAATTTCTAGTAGTGGCTTAGACCAAAGTGGATCCACCAGGAAATAAAATAGCACTAGCTCTGTGTTGTAGAGAAAAGCATTCAAAAGGTATGTCAAGCATGTAGTGGAAATTCCACTAATCGTTTTCTCAATCTGACTTCGGCTAGATTGAAGATGTAGTTCATCTATGTATTCATTTTTTCTCTTCTTTATTTTAAAACCCCGTTTTACAAATCCATTTTCGTCATATACTACTGATTATGTTCGATTTTCAAACAGCAACAGTCTTGAAAATCCAGCAGTTTTTGGTTCCCGAAGGATGCAACATTTGAGAATATAAATACTAGTTTCCAAAGTGTCGAACCCTCACTTTAGGTCGTTTACAGGAATGCTGAAGTTCCTTACATCAAATAAAACTTAAAATATTGAAAACAAACCACTGGTGTTCATACTGAGGATATTCATCGCAAACTTGTCATTGAGTGTGGATAGATTTTTTTGCTATTCCCTCGAAGCTCGTCTGGAACTTCTTCTGTCACAGCGATTGTTCCCAACATTTGTTAGACTGACATTTCATATTTTCACACACGTCCGAGTTCAGACTAAGAAATAAAAAGCACAGTACAACACCAAAGGTGTTGTCAGTCACTGGACTGACTTTCCAATGGCATTCAATCGATTGATATTTATCATCCTCCAATATCCTTGTTCTCTAATTTGAACATTTTTTATTCTCTTCTTCTTATATAGGCTCTGCTGGACGCTCCCGCCTACAAGATTTATCATGATCTAGTCTATAATGTTTGCCAAGCGCCATCTTGGAATACCACAATCGAGTCCATTGAAGTGAGTTTCAATTGATCGTTAATCGCGACCGTCAAAACGCTCTGCTTCTTCTGACGTCCCGTTATGGCCGATACCTTACGATACATATCTGTACTGGGTTTTGGTTTCCAAAGCACCGCATCAGATGCGTAACACAAGCCATGAGGTTGCAGTTAAATTCCCCTTTTTATCACGCAGTAGGCGTTCATTTCCTATCTCTTCACCTTCGCGCTATAAGGAATCCATCACGCAAACTTAGATATCTTATAAATACAGGTATTGATCGAACTCGCGAATTTCATATTAGAAATATGTTTCAGTTTCATTCTGACATTTGTATATCAATGACAGTGCACCGTTGTGACTGACTGCTCTTGTTTTAGTGTTGGAATATACTTGATTGTCACGATAAAATTTATAGTAGTCCGAAAGTTACAGGTGAGAATTGGAAACTTTCCGTGAAGTGTAGCCTGGAAGTTCATTCTTTCTAACAGCCACATGTTGTTTCATGGTGGGGGGATTACCCTGGTCAATACACGTATTCTAAACAACATTTCTTTCTTCATGCGATCCAAATTAAATAAACCAATCAATAATAATCATAATTTTTATCTTTAATGAACTGGCAATTTATTTGCTGATGTGAAATCACTCACCGTGATGAGAATAGAAATGTACTCCAAAGAACGTGAAAATTGACCTTGAGTTCAGCGGCTTTTTGAATACACCTTTTGTTATGTTACCGTAACTAGGTCGAGTGAAACATCCGGGAGTTTGTCTTATACAAGTGAAGTCGGGTTGCAACGTGTTTGAGAAGCGCATAAACTCTTGAACAGAACGCTAGATCCACTTAGATTCACCTCCCTAAATGTCGGCCTTTTTGGATTGTTTTCATTTTGCATCTGCTTGTTGTATACAGTTGAAGGTTGTTATTTCATTTTTAACTCAAGTTAAGCGTGGTTTCCAACTGTAACTAAACTAATACCGCTGTTACTTGTCTCTCCGGTAAACCTTTGAATTAAATTAAGTAAAATCGCATAAGTCCTGTAAATCTGGATCCGCTGTCGAGCCTTTCAAGACTTCGCGGATTGAATTCAACTTACGGACTTGATAGTCATGGATTGAAATGTTTACGGTATGTATGAAAATTCTCCCTAGGTCACCACTTGACTGAGACGACTAGGTAATGACTGGAGCAACACTGCGCGAAAACTGTGACTCAAAGATGAACTGACTTGATGATGTTGGGCTGTGAGCTGGCGGTCACGGGGTGCGCGCTGCCTATGGTTAGACTCATTTGGCCAGAATGGTTCAATATCGTGCACCGTGGTGCGCCTATACCCGCAATTATTGGCCTAAGTCATTCGCACGAAGCTTTCATCGTATCAGTGAACTTCTCGCAGCCGAAATTTGTTTCTTTTGTCTTATAGGAGTTGACCCAGATAGCCGAACGACGGTGCAACCGCGCAGGAATGACAATTTTGTGACCTATTAGGCCAGTGCAGGAAACTGTTTAAATCGACTGTCTGATGAATGAGTCAAAAACTGTGGTTGATTCCTAGAGCTTTGAATGTAATTACAGTTGTCCGGGAACCTCTAGTGTTCATATTCAACACACGTTTGGAATATTGATTTCTTCCAATGTCCACAAGTATTAAGGAAACAGTGGAAACCGCCCCAATGCGTGTTAATGCCCTTACAAGCACACAAATTGTCTCGCTTACTCGGGATATGCAATGTGGTCTTGTATTTTGTGAAACTTAGTGTAGTTTTGACCGAATTAGAGCCTTTCATCAAGCTTCATTTAACTGTGTCTAAAGGCTTGAAATGATTGAGGTGTGTCGGTCGGTTGATGTGTTGCGTATGCACCAAGTCAATTGCTACGAGTTGCGGTGTTTGGCGATGCAGGTACTGGGTGCAAAACGTAAAGGGTAGTCAAAGTAAGACCTAACATGAGAGTATGAAACTTTTACCAAGAGACTTGATGACATGCGTTGCGTTCGACTTGTTAAATAGGGACCTCGGGATCAGCGTAACCGATGATGAGAAACGCTGAGTGCCGTAAACAAAAGCTTCAGTGCTTTTAAACTTAGTTTTCCTGAAAGCTTTATTTTTACCTAGAGATTGCTTTCAATATTCCAATGTTCCCTCTATCCCATTCGATCAAATAGGCGGCCATGAGACCACAACAAAAACCGCCTGATAATGGTNAAACTGAACTCATCAAAAGAACTACAAATTTGGTACTCTTGTAATCGAGTGCTCTATGTTCGCTATATGGTAGTATCATATGGCGTCACTGATCTCACCTGAACAGTATTTCTTTGTACATTATTTATTCCGTTCGTCAGTGCATTCAATCGTTTCCATCGGAGAACATTGACATAATTTATAATGTGATCCACGAAGCACTCGGCGGTGCAATATCTCGCAGGTATGACCCCAGTTCCCGGCACATTGCTTGCCTAATGCATTATATATATATATATATTGAATGCGTCTAAAATTAGATGCCGTTGTACAGACGTTTTCATTATGGTCCCATGGAACGCACTGTGCAATTGAAAGCATGCTTTACTCACAATAAATGTAAAAAGAGGATCCGAGACAGAGGTCTGCTCAATGTAACATGCATACTACCGCTATCTCTATAAATGCACACTGCAGTTTAAATGATCGGTAATTTATGGATCGCCTGGAATTAAACGATCTTGACAAATCACAAGTTTACGAAGCGGTCTGGTTTTCATTGGCTCATGATCACTTGTAACTCCAAATTCATCTTAAAGATAAAACACGAAAAGCCAAAGATAATCATCTTTTTCATCGTCGCATTCAGAAATCCGAATCAACTTACCTGTATTATCGTCATCGAATCGTGCGCTTTGAGCTCGACCATCCACTTGATGTTTCAGCACTTAAACAAATCACTTTCGCTCGACCCAGACGGTTCAAAAGCTGATTACTTCTGTCTAGTCTTCAGCTTATCTAACTCAATTCTAATTGTTTTGAAAACAAGTTGTCGTTATACTCAACTCGTGATTAGTTTAATTATTATGTACACTTTGCTGTTTCACCTCTAGGAATGAGTCTCACGATGGGACGTTTATATTTTCTTTTATATGATTAAGGAAGGAATAGGTGCACAATGATGAGGGTGGGTCAGTCAGTGGTGAATAGACCTCTATCTGGATGCAAAGCAGCCCGAATACTAACATCGTTCCCGAAAATTTTGGTTACATAGGTGTCTTTATCATTTAAATCGGACAGCTCCACAGAGGTTGTTCGCAGAAGACTGAAGTACGTCACTCATAAGACTTTCCGTAGCCCTATGATCCAAACTTCACATCTCTCTCCGGTTGGTCTTGTCTCCTAATGAAGTTCTGTTCGAGAACCGTTTCATACACATACTAAATATATTTTTAGATTAACCAATCTGGAGTGAGGTCTTCTTCATTTTCAAACGCTCTCTAAAATTCAAGTCTTTCTGAAGTTTGTTTTGCTTCTAATTTTAATCAATTTTCCTATTTGCTACTGTGAAGAAGGCGGATAGTAAATTGTCTTCTACATGCTTATGCGATCATTTTATCTTCCAGAGATTTAGTCCTACTCCGCACGTGGGGCGAACGAGATGATCTATTCTTCTTGGGCAGTACGTCGGTGGATCATCCAAAATGTCCTCCAACTGCGAATTGCGTTCGGTAGGTGTAAACTTGGCACAGTTTAAAATTGACCCAGCAACTTGGAAATACCTTATGCCTCTTTTCTTTTTTTTTAAATCTTTATTTTCTTCCACATTTCCTCGGTTCCACTGCCTACAATTTCGTTACGCCTCCGTTTATTGTACTTGTTGATTCTACATTAAGTTACTTTATTAGCTTTACTGCGGCTGGCTCCTTGGAAAGGATAAGCCGGCTCGAGACATGATTATGATCATGGAGTTCCTTGGGAATCTGGTACGAGAGGCGCCCCCTAGCGTCACTCTGCGTTTTGTTTATTTTGGGGACGAACCTCTAGCCTTTGCACAACCAAGTGCGAACTGCAAGGCAGCAGGAAGTAATCGCTCTCCTCGGAAGTGAGGGGTCAATGACTTTAGTTTTAAAAGGCCAGTCATATCGACCTTTGTCACGACACCATCGTTGGGCTTACGTGGCTTTTAAACAGGAGCTAGGTGACCAGCCTGAAACCCTCCACACTCTGGTAGTGCCGCCGCTGTTCGTTCGCGACTACTTATTGTTGCGGTATACGACAACTTATTCACAGCTAACCTTCTTCGGTGAAGGTATCCATTTATCCACAACCCGGGGACGCGCCTGGTAGCATTCAGCTCTGCTTAATCCGAGGGTATTAGGAAGGAAATTAAACCTTCTGTATCTACGTAAGTATTCGGGTGAACAACCAGATACTGCTCCGTAAGCTGTACAATTTTGGTATCAGAGATCTCACGTTTGATTGGATTGCTGTATTTCACCAACAACGGACCATGTCGGTTGGAGTCTATAATTCACTGCCCGCCCCGATTGCCGTTTCCTGCGGAGTCCCCAAGGGCTCTTTGCTTGGTCTATAAACGACTTACCGAATGTCCTAGGACCGCACACATTATTGTTTGCAGACGAAGTCGAAATGTGGAAGACAGTGACAGAAAGTTAGGGTTCGCTGGAACTCCAAGAAAGACTGAATGCACCTCACAGATGGTCTATTGAGAACGATATTCGATTTAACGTCTCCAAATGGAAAATGATTTCGCTATGCCACCATGGTCGGTTTCCTTACTTCCTCGGAAATGAACTACTGCTGC